GATACCAAACCAAGCACCTTTATAATGGTGCTGGCTATTGAATAATAACAACTGAGTTCATTAGATTGCTACATAGATCAAACTGAACTTAAATTAACCTTGAAAAAAAAAGGGGAATCAGCATATTTCTCTCATGTACAGTACCAGCATTCATGTACTGTTGCTTCACTCTCTGTTTAATTGCTACAGTCAATTTTTTGCACAGCATCCACAGCTTTTCAAACAAAGGAGAAGCCAAAAGATTGATAAGGACCTTGCTGGGCTGTGCTGCAGAAGGTCTCCATGCAGAGACACAGTCTTTAGTACTTCACAACAGAGAGCAATAACTCATTTCCCTCCATAAAAGTAAACCCTTTGATGAGCCTTGCTCCCAGCTTGGATCTGTGTGGGAGCAAAGTCAGAAGGAAACTCATCACAGCCACAACACAAACTGCCTCACTGCAGCACTAAATCAGAGACATCATGCACTAAGTCTACGACCTCCCAGGGGGATTTGGGCAGGTAGGACCTCCTTCCCCCTCCACAAAGTCCTGCCAGGGCCATTGGCCTCTTACATGTTGTTACTGGACACAAGAGCTGAGCAGCACGAGCTGGCAGAGCGTGGGCATGCTGATGTCAGGACAGTCTTTGGCTGTCATTTTCCACTGAGTCAGACAGAGAAAATCCTGGAAAGCAAAGGAAGGTACAGCTGGCCACAGCCTGAGCAGGGGAGGGATGATTTACATCTCTCTGAGGCTGGTCCCATGTCTGTCTTGGATTCAGGACTGCACACGCAGAGGTCAGTCCCCAGCCCCTCTCTCCTCCCCTGCCAAAGGACACCCACCTGCTGGGTCCTGCTGCTCAGCAAAACAATCCAGCTCACCTTTGTCCTTTGCACCACACCAGTTGTTTTCACTCGAACAATTCTGCTCCCCAGAATTTCATTCCCCCCACCCCTTCTTTTCTCCTGTAGTGAAATATAACTGTGAAGGTTTTGAGGAAGTTCCAGACAACATTGCTCTCTGTTTCAGCACATACAATTCCCAAATTACCATCATATCATGTGCTGGCCTCAAAAACACCACACAACCACCACCTCCCTCCACAAAGGTTTCTCCCCAAATTCTTTTGTGTCATTGATAAGCATCAGTTAATGAATAAAAACAGCAGCAAATGCCTTAAAGGGACCCAAGCATGATAACTAACAGCCAGGAGTGAGCTGTCACAGGAGGGACCACAGATCAAAGGGGAATGCTGACTCAGCTGCTTTGTTGCTAGACTGGAACAATTTATCTGAATCCCAGTAGGTAGAAACTAAAACGATTTGCAGGGAAAAAAAACCCACAACATGAAGGTCTCCTGTTAACATTTATCTCCACTAAACTATGCACAAGAGCCTCTCATTTATCAGAAAAAGGATGAAAAAGCAGGACTGGATAGCACTTGAAGAGCAGGCTAAGGAGCAACTGTTCAAACCTACATACCAACACTTCTCTGTTTTGCAATGGTAAAGTTTCTAAAGGGTATTTTTAGTGAGAGAGACCAGAATCTGCTTCTTTCCTGAGCCACAGGACTCACATCCCCACTTGCCAATCAGCAAAAAGGAAGAGATTTTTCATCCAGCTCTGCCTGACCTGTTTCTGAAGCAAAGCCCACACGTTTCAGCTGAGCACTGAGCTCTTTATTGCTCATTAGCACCTGCACAAGTGTGACAGGGGTGAGAGCAGCACCCAACGAGCCCAGGATGGGGACACAGCAGAGCAGTGTGAGGGCAGGTGTGACACCAAACAGTGAGAAATAAGCATGATGGCAACAACACTGCACATTATTTCTGAGGTCTGAGCATTATTTCAGAGGAGCTGAGCTGAGGCAGGGCTGCAGCCACATGGGCTAGAGCTGGGCTAGAGCTGAGAGATGCCTCATTTCCCAGGACAGAACCACTACCACAGTGTGCTCCTCCCAGTGGACATGTGATCTCTCCAGGGCTGCCAACTCAATGTGTTTTTCACCACCACAGTGTGCTCCTCCCCGTGGACAGAACAGACATGTGATCTCTCTAGGGCTGCCAACTCAATGTGTTTTTCACCAGAAACTCATGGAAATTTTTTGCCAAACATATGAATAAAGTCAGGTCCTTACCTTGGCCTCAAGCGTGTTCAGCCTCTCGGTCATATCTGCTAGCCTCGTGCAGTTCATGCATTCTAGAGAGAACAAAACAAAGTGATGTAAATTTTCTACATTCTGTGCATTTTAATCCATGGCTTCAGTCTGCAGACCCTGATCCCTTTGATCCAAGGCACATGGAAAAGCAAGTCAAGATCAGTTATGGAGGAGGAGAATAAATATTTGAATCCACTGCACAGGTCAACAGCCACAGCCACGTTACATGGAGCTTGTTTGGGGATGTTTAGTGGGGCAGAGTGTGAAATTAAGTTGCCAATAGGTAGTAGGTAGATGAAATAAAAACCAGTTTTAAGATTTCTCATGGTGCCAATCAGCATGACATGCTGTCATCAGCAGAGACACTTGTTCTGCCACGGGTACAAGCTGGTGTGGCACATGGTCCCACCTCACAGGACATCAGGCTGTACAGCCACCACTCCAACTAGGACCCTCTCCCATCCTATTGTCCTGGTTGAAGACTGAGGAAAGCAGTGAATATACAAAATGCCCATGTCTGTGGAGTCCTGTTCCATCCATGGGCTCCCACCAGGCCTTGTTACCACTCCCACAGCAAATCATCTGTCTCAGCCACAGCCAGGAAAGCTAAGGCAGATCTGAGGGCTGGTGCAGCCCAGAGCTGCAGCATGAAGTGGTTTCCATCTCACTTTGCTGCAGAGAAGCAACAGATAGACAGCAGCCACCAAAGGAGTCCTGACAGGAGGCATCAGGGAGAACAAATGTGAACAGAATGGGCTCTGAGAGCAGGCTAAAACGATTGCTCCATACAAAGGACATCACTTATCTAAACAGAAGGCCTGCTGCTTCACCTCTGTTTTCATCTCAGCAATTTTAAAGCCCTGAACTGAGATTTAATCAACAAGGCACTTTCCCAGCACTTTGCAGCAGTGTGGAACTGTCTGTTCCCAGCTCCCAGAGAAGCTTTCCAGACTGCACCACTCCCCTCTCATGACTTCTGAAGCACAGCAGTTTTTAAACAGGGAAAATGACTTGCAGCATGAAGTATTTCAGAGAATAAACCATCCATATTCAGGTGATGAATCACTGTCATCTCACATCCCTTAGAGGAGAAACACATCTCTATGTGTTTTGTGCTTCTTAAGGGCCAGAGCCAGTTTTCATTGACTGGCCAGAGAAGAACTATTTAATCCTGGTGTTTCCATAGGTCTGGGGATGTTTACCTGAAATTCTTGAGCCCCTTCACAGGCCATTCAGGTGCAGCTAAGGCTGAGCTTGTAATGATCCTGGGGATGCTGAGTAAAACCAGTGCCTACCTATAGCAAGGAATGGGTGAAAATGGATTTTGCCCTGACTAAACATCACTGTGATACCTAGGACTCAGTTGTCCCCTGTTGCACAAGGAGCCCCAAGGAATCTCTCAGACTTCACCCACAAACATTTGCTGTTTTTCTGGAGCACATGGCATGCACCATTGGCCCTCAGCCATGCAAAGATTTGAGCATGGCTTGGAGGGCCAGGAAGCTTGGCTGTTCCACCTTGGTGATTTACAGGCTAAGAAGATTGCTTGAGTGCTAACAGTAACCAATCACCCACTGCATAAACCTTCCAGAGGAATTCTCTCTTTGGCCCTCTATGAGGAGCTGTGTAGCTTCCCAGAGGAGCTAGACATAGAGCTTCCACCTCACAACACACAGCATTTTGCAGACAAAGCAGCTGATGGTTCAGGAACACTCAGATGGAGGGATTTCCTCACAGGTCAGTGTTGACATGGACTTTCTGTAACCCAACAGAAAATAACATTTGTTTATTTTTATTCTCTGCAATAGATCTTGGGCAATATTTCCTGGCTTGAATTGGGCCATGGATATACAAGTGCCATAAATGCACTGTCCCACGGGGAAGGAAATGGGTGAGGCTTGTTTGGTCTGGATCTGCTTGTGGTGTGTAAAACAGGGAATTACATTCTGCATGTAACTGGCTTCAGGCTTTTGATCTTGCTCATCCCCATAGAAAGATAAGACTGTATAAATCTAATGCTCCCAGGAGCCAAAAGACGTACCAGATGTGTTACAGAGCAAATAAAATACGGAGTCCTATTCCCCCTTCTGCTGGCTTGCACATATTAATAACTCCCCCAGGTTTAGAGAGACTGACTTGAACTGCCTGAAAACAATCTCTCTGCATAACATGAGATGGATTGATCATTTAAGCTCCCTTTGGAGAGTTCAGCTCATAGAAAAGGGCTTGTACTACCACCCAGCTCCCAGGAGAAGGGCACTCTGCTCATCTCTGCTGGAACAGCACCAGTCCAGCAGCCCTTGAAGAGAGTCTCAAAGTGCCCTCTCAGGTGCATTTGCAGCAGTAAAAATTAGATTTAAAAGAAAAAAATGACAGAAGAGGGGAAAAAGCAGCAGTGTCACTGCACAGTGTTATTTGTACTGATATCATCTTCATGTCAGTGATGCCTGCTGAAACGTATGGAAAATAGCCCAGGCCAGGAAGAGAACTACTTAAGTTCAAGCTGGATTTGAACTCTGATCCTTTCCTTTGTGAAATGCCTGGAAATTCAAACCCACATGCAAGGTACTTAGCCTGGACCCAAAAGACATTTCACTAATCCAGAAAGTGGATGTCCTAATGCAAAAACTCGTCTTCCTAAGGCCTGTCCTGCCAACAAATCCTTGTGACATTTGTTTAGCTGACCAACCGACTTCAAACACAGGCAAATGCAGTTTCAGAAACTACATTCAAAGCTCACTCACAACACACCAGGGACCAGACTGCTTCAAGGTCTGGGGTTGTTATCTGCCCTTGCAGAAAGCCCAGGAATGGTGGTGACAAATCAAGCTAATAAATATCTTCCCTGACTACAATGCACTGAAGTATTTATAGTGTCTAATCCCAATGTCTGGTGGTTCCAAAGGCTGGGACTGTGAAGCTGAATTTTCTGATCAGGGTGAGAGCAGTCTGCAGTATTGAAACAAGCTTCAGAATCTCACATCATTATTTCTCATGCAACAAATATAACACTGGGGCAAATACACACACTCTCTGACCTGGGGCTGTAGAGCAGAGGTTTTCCATATCTGCAGAAATCCATCTCTTGTTGCTACACAGAACCACAGTTTATTTCCCTCATATTCCTAGTTGGCAGATTTGTATTTTTCCAGCTAAACTCTGAGAAAAGAATTGTGATTTCACTCTATGAAGCCCAACCTCAAAACACATGGCAGGATTTGTTTTAGAAATATTCCAGCAGGGAGAATAAATAATTGAGATAATGAGCATGAGGCAGTACCAGCACATCGTATGACACCCAGTCTGTCTCCACTCAGTCTCACTGTTCCTGTCCTAGCACACCTCTCCCTCCACAGCCTCCCAGTTCCCCTCTCTGGCTGCATGGGTAAAGCAATGCAACTGTAGGGTCAGAAAAGTCTAAGGTAGCAGAGATGTGGTAGACTCCACACACTGGAAAATAACAAATCATATACCCCAATGCCAGCAGTGACCACCTTAACCCTGACCCAATGGTTGCTATATTTGACCCAACTTCTGAAAGGCTGAGCCAGTGCCTCCAGCTCAGCAGCTTTGCCAACAAGCATCAGGTCCTCTTGTGCCTGTCCCCACTCTGGATACTCCCCACAAGTGACCTACAGCAGTGAATGACTGCTTGCTAACCTGGCAGTCCTGCTTTGCAGGACTTGAGCAGTGTTGGCACAATTTCATGATTAAATAGTTGCATATTTCAGCTTCTGCAAGCTGAAAGCTCCACAAGTCTTCAACTCCTCACTCACATCACAATAACAAGAAAGGCATGATAACAGCTTGATACCAGTGGAGCACTAATGATTTCAGGACTGAGGGGAGTGAAAAAAAGAACCAGCCCAACTTTCACCATGGGGCCTCAGGTCAGTTTTGTGCAAAATGGCAGAGAAACCTCTTGGCATCTCTGCCCCATTTCTCAGCTCTGACAGCCCACACTCATTTGTGTACCCAGAGTCTCTGCAGAATATTA